AAAAAAAATCGATTATTTTTTGGTTTTTTTGCAATTAGACACACGTCTAAATCACTGACAATTCTTCTACTTAACTGTGAAGAAGGTTTTGTTTTCAGTAATGCTCCTTAAAACACCATTAATCCTTGTTGTGGCTATACTTTCCACAGCGTTCAGCGACAACGCCCCCGAGAACAATGCGGTAGTTGAACATCTCTTCACTTTTATTTTGAGATGGTTCCTTTAATACTTTTCCAGTTAAGGCGCAAACCTCGTATGCCTTTGATATTGATTCTCTAACGAGTCCGACCTCTTTCATGTGTATGAAGATCAATCTGTATTCTGTAGTCTTCATCAGGTGATGCTTTGCTTGACTTTCTTTAGTTTGTGGCAAAATTCATTGAAGTGATCGCAAGCTGCCATTACGACCACCTAACGAAGTTTTGCGGTTTCTATTTGGATTAGGGCCTAAAACAAAGAATATGTTAATTAGCTGCTTATGAAAAAATGCTTTTTGGAGCTGAAGAACCTAACTCTTGTATCTTTTTTTTTCAGCTGGGATGACAGGAAATGAGCTAAATGTTAGAAAATACTTGGGCAAAACAATTTCCAAAAAACTAGCTCTTCTACTGTCTCTAAAAAATGCTTCCTAATTTCTTTTTGAAAATTTAATTTAATCTTATTGATATATTATGATAAAACTATCTGATTTAGAGGCTACTCGCCTGACGGGAATGGGGCATTTGACAGAAATGTTGTCACCAATGTAAAAAACGCATTTGATGGTAAGTAAAATATGTGCTTAAATTAGGACGCTTAGTTAATTAGACATTACCGTCCGTATGATGTGTTGCACAAAAATGTCAATCTTAAAAATTTGATGAGATTAAATGCATTTATCATTTAAGTTCAACATAATAAAGTTTATGGTGATAATTGATAACATAGTAAATAGTTTGGAGACCATGGTGCGCGGAATAAATCAAAGCTACTCCTGGAGCCTAAAAACTTCTTCCAAAAATTAAGGAGACTTTAGACAAAAACATTGAAAGGAAAAATAATCAGAGTATATTTGACAAGATTGTCAAGCGCGACTAACTTTTTGGTACTCTGTAGGTTACTTTGAGATGAAATGATTGAGTAAAAATTTTTCTTGTTTCATAACATTATCCGTATAATCATAAGTGTTCAGTCGCTTTTTTGAA